AAGGTATGAGGAACAACAGTATCACCAGTAATTTTAGGTGAAAAAAACACCCCAATTGTGTGTATCCAATGTCAATAAAAGACAACTTTATAACAAAGATGATGCAAGTGCCAACACTCAACATTTCAAATATTAAGAGGGGCAATGATAAATTGGAAGGAGGTAATGGAAAAGGTGACAGAGGTAAGAGATGTTTAAATCAATGAAGACCAGGTAGGAAGAAGAATAGACTATGACAATGAAGTCTCCTTTTTCTCTTTCCCCACCACTTAATCTATAAGCAAGTCCAGTGAGCTTTAGCTCCACCACAATTCCTATCTTGATCCCCCTTTCTACCCCCATGGGTAAATGTCTGTCTGGGTTAGGCTGTCATATTATAATTGCCTCCTAACTGCTTCCCTCCCACTTCTAACCTTGCCCCTTGGAATATATTCTTTACAAAGCAACCAGATTAATTTTCTTAAAGTTTAAATTAGAACTTATCCCTTGTCTGCTTAAAATTCTCTAACGGTAACCTGTAACATCCAGAACTAATATATAAACTAACCAAGTCCTAAATGTCCACGTCAAATCTGGTTCCTATACACTTCATTGAGCTTATTGCTACCTTCCTTTCTTTCTCTCATTCTGCTATCATTACACTGACCATTTTGTTCTATAAACATGCCAAAGTTGTTCCCAATTCGCCTTCACTTGTTCCCTGGATCTGAAAAGTTCTAGATCTTAGCATATTTGACTCCATCTCATTATTAAGGTCTAAGCACAAAACTCATACTCTCAGGTACCTTCTCCCCTGGCCACTTTAAAAAAAGCAGCACTCTCACCACACCTCCAACCCAAATATTATCTATTTTATCTTATTCATATTACTTATCAGTAATTTGTCTGTCTAGAGACCTCCCTGTCTTGTTCCACTATAAATTAAGCCCTCTGAGGGCAAGGATTTTAACTTACACTCCACTGTTGTGTCTATCAACAGTGTTTGGCATAGAGCTAGTTCTCAAAAACTTGTTGAATGAAATTTATTCTACATAAATCCCAAATATATTTAGGGAACTGGGACCAAATAACACGTAGATTTCAGGCCAATTTGTAAAGAACTTTTAAGAATTATAGCAAGGTAATAAGAATGTCCCAAAAGTTCCTGGATGACCACAAGTTTTGAATGCTACAGAAGGGATTACTGCATTAAGTAGGACCTTATAACCTTTAAATGACCTTTAAAATCCTTTCCAATGACAAAATCCTAATCTATTCAAAACGTAACGAGTTACTTGCGGTCTATATAGTTGTTGGGTAAGTAGCTTCTATACTGTACCATCCCTTTACCTTCAGGAAATCTAAATTAGCCTAGTTTATACCTATCTCCAACTTAACTAAACATCTTTAGTGACTTTAAGACAATTTTTGCCCCAAAAGTAACCCTGAACCTGCTATTCAGAACCAAGTACCATTCTGAGATATAATAGAATAAATGGACAGACAACCCCCCTACACTCCATTACCAATTACAAGTATAGAGTATGATACCTAAGATCCAACTTTTTCAAGGATTTGTATATTGCTTGCTATGATTTAATTTTTGTTACCTTTTCCCTCCTCCTACCACTTCTACCCAGGACTAGATAAAACAGTGCAACTGATAAAGGATTATATCATAAGATAATCCATACACATATTATCTTGGGCACACAATTTTTCTTTGAATAAAATTTCGGACTTAGGTTTGAAATCATTTTAATAAGTCATGATTACTTTTAAAAGGCAGTCTTTTAAAAACAACATGTGCTGACCATATTAATATAGCTGCAGGAAAAACACTTAATGTAAGTATTATTTTAACAAAGACAAATTTATTTTATCAGTGAGTATAAAGCAGTGTATCCCAAAATGAGTTTATGAGGAGATCAATTCTTCAAAAGATACTGGTCAAACAAATGGGTTGGGGAAATACATTAAAACCCTTCTCCCCATTCATAAAGCACACCATTACTTAGTCTTTAAAACATTTTACAAAAAAGAAAAAGAAAAAAAAATAAGACTTGGACTTTACCTAATCCATCATTTCCCACATTTCTTTGACCAGAGTTCCCTATCTTTTGGGGGCAGGATTAATAATCATAGAAAACACAGTTTAGGGAAACACTGCTATATAACACAATTTGAAAATGTTACTTCTAAATAGACTTATAATATAGCTAGGACAGAAACTGTGATAATATATAAGCTTACTAAAACATATGTATTCAAATAACTTGTATTACATGTTTAAAGCAGCTAAAAAAAGGGACAATTATAAGATAGATTATTTAATGAAAACAATAAAAAAATTAACATTTTACTCAAATCCCTATATTAAATGCTAATTTCTCTGTACCAGCAATTATTTCGCAATGCCATTTCCTCCCCCAATACTAAGGGCAATCTTTCAATATTAAAACTAAAGTTCTCCTAGGAATCAGGTGGTTCAGAAGGTAGTGGGGAAGCACGGGTTTGTGAATCTACTTGTTTAAAAGTCATTTGTGCCTTTGGTCCTCTTTATATAACAGTGTACTGACTATGTGGAAGGGAAAAATACTTCTAACATGTAGATTACTGTATTATATTTTGCTAGAATTCTGGACCATTTTGTTTTGTTGTCAATATAATTCTATTCCCTGGAGGAGGGGTGTGGCGGAGGGGGGGAAGTATTGAATAGTTAACACTCCCCAAAAAGAGAGGGACTACAGCAGTTTTAGAAAGCACTTACTTAATCATTTCAAAAAGCTTTGGATCTGAGACCTTGATATTTCGTGCCATATTCCAGGAAAGATGAACCATGGGTACTATTGACTTCACACTTTGCAATTTGTTCCATTCGTACCGTTCCACTGCCAACTTATACTGGCAGGCTAGGAAAAAAAAAACAGTTATAAAGCAACCCAAAGTACCAGAATATATGAAGATAACCATTATCACCTTCTTGGGTAATATAAACACCAATTCTGAAGACCTCAAAAAATTATAAAAATAATAATAACAATTTTTTTGTTTTTTAAAATAATTATGGTAATAACAACAGCAATCGTGTAGAGTGCTTATTGTAACTATGTGCCAGGCATTGTGCTGAGCTATTTTAATAGATTGTTTCATTTAATCTTTAGTATCACCTTTTTAATTTTATTATCCCCATTATACAGATGAAGAAATTGAAGCCCAGAGAGGTTATGTAACTTGCCCAAAGTTACAAGAGCTAGATCCTGGTCCTAATCCAGGTCTATCTGGCTCCAAAGGCCATATTATTCCTGTTAACTATCTACTGCCTGAAGGCAGGCATAATCCAAATGGATTTGACATAATAGGGCTATTCATACAATACCAGATGAAAGAAAAATTTGAAAGAATGAGTAACTACTCTACTTTGTTTTCTCCCATAAAGTTTCCTTTATAAAGTAAAACCAAGCACTCTATCACATGGGGGAAAGCCACCCACTGACCACAAATACCCATTTTAAACTATTATAATGAGGAATAATAAATATCTATTGCTTTTGAAAAATATATATATTTTCCTTGTATATAAAGGTATCAATTTGTTTTTGCTGAGATCTGTAGTCTTGGATTTCTATTTGTTAACTTGAATTTAATTTCTTATACTACAAATTAAATTTTTATTCAAGGAGACACTCTTCTTCCAATTTTTAGTGGGGTATATTCTAAGAGAAAAAAAAAAGACTTATCAGATGCGATTCCTTATAAATTAAACATTTTTAAGCATATTCTTTAAAATACCTGTAAGTGGACCAACATTCCAAGCAATATTGTTGCACCAGCCAATAGCCTGAACCCAATGAACAGTGCCTGCATTTATCCAGACCAAATCTCCAGGTCGCTGAATAAACCTATACACTGGAACATTTGCTTCATAAAGGTCTTCAAGGTTGGGCCACCAAGAACCCATTAGGAAATTCAAATTATTTCTGAAATAAGAAAAAATAATGCAAATATATTAAGTACTTTAATAAGGTCCTTATAAGACTAGAAGACAATGTTGAAAGTTTCAAAAAATAGGATCATTCACTGCATTGAAAATTAATTGCTTGTGCAGTAAGAACTGCTATATGTAAAGTGAGTCAAGTTAATTATAGTTAAGTATTGGATGACTTAAGCAAAGATCAGTATTACTATCCTAAGATGATTTTTTAAAGATCCAGATGAAATCCAAAGTGACTTTTAAGCAACACTTATATAATTTACTTTTTTTTCTAAATCCTTACCTGAGGATATTTTTTCCATTGATTTTTTGAGAGAGAGTGGAGGAGAGGGAAGGGGGAGAGAGAGAGATAGATAGAAACATCAATGATGAGAGTCATTGATTGGCTGCCTCCTACACGTCCCCCACCAGGGGTCGAGCCCGCAACTCGGGCATGTGCCCTGACGGGGAATCAAACCAGTCTCCTGGATCCTAGGTCAATGCTCAACGGCTGAGCCACACTGGCCAGGCTGCAAGCATCCTTTTTATCATTTATCCAAATGAATGGTTATTTCAAGATAGATATTATTAAAAGTCATAAAACAAACTACAGACATGGTCAATACTGGTCAGTATCAAATAACAATCTTTATGCGAAACAAAATTATACTAAAATGCTAAGGTAGCAAGTGTTATTTCTGCAACTTAGTTAAATTTACCCAACTATTTATACTAACTTGATATTTTTACTATCCCCAAGTTCAAGCTTTTTATACATCATCTGCCTATTCTAATCATCATTGTTCCCAGGTTACCTCTCCATTTAGATAGGATAGGAAACTAAATTCTAAAAAGAGCCAATCCCTACTCAAAAATGGTAAACATGAATCACTGTACTATAGCTGCAACAATATACTACTATCTCAAAATTTAAGAAATAAAAATCTTTCTGTAGCACAATGGAGATTTACTACATGCCACTGTTCTCTCTCTGCTAATACCAGGTTGCTGGTTCATAAAAGTAAATCAGATTAAAGTACGTTATTTCATCAAAAGATTTGGAAGTTTAAAATTCCACATCTTTGGCTTTCTTAGAAACCTATGTGGTTAAATAGCAAAGACAATAAAAGGTGATTACCTTTTGCCTATATACAGGAAATTTTGGATTAATGTTTTTTGAAATCGTATTTATACTTCTTACTAAATTTAGGCATTTACAGAAAAGATTCTTTAACCTCAAATTTAAAAATTATAAGTATGTGGAATATGTATCTAACTAGTTCCCAAAATCTCTCATATGTAAATGTTTTTGGTACTTCCCCCCCTTTATTTTATTGGAGTGGGAGAATTAATACCAAATGTATGTATAATTCATGTTTTTAACCATAATAATTTTCTAATGTTATTATTAACTGAAAATTCAGGTGCTTGCACAATGGAGTACTTTTTTTTAAAAAAAGAAATTAAGTTTCCATATAAACAAATATTTCAATTTGAACCAATGAAAACAATTCCAAGGTACCCTTTAACACTAGATAAAGAAACAAATGAAGGCTATTTCTAGGATTCTAGGAAAGGAACACTTCTACCAGATGAGTTTTCTCAATAATAAAAAAACAAAATCTGAAATAGTTGATTAAATTTTATAATAATCCTTTATAGGAAAAGTTGCCAGAGTAGTTTTAGAAAGAATTTATATCATAATGATATAGCAGAGAGTACTGTGTTAAAATTTGAGTTATTAACAACCTATAAGGGTGCTCAATTATAAAATTTCTTCCACTTCTAAAACCATTTATACTAAAACAATTTTTTCTTGGAATACAGACCTTTCACATGAACAAGTACTTTTGTATCAAATGTTTAATTAGCCTAATAAACAACTCAATTTTTCTGTTCTTTAAATTCAAGACTATTACTATTGCATGAAGTAGTTTCAAGGCAAACAATAGGTTTGGAATCAAATCGTGTTAAATGAATTTTCTGCTGAATAGTGAGTGAAAATTGGTTACATGCATTAGGACATCCAGCTTTAGTAAGTTGTCCTTCAAAATTATTGTTTTTGAATAATTATGTTTAAAGAATATTTAGTTTGGAAACCTACTTTTCACAGAAGTCATTCAGAACACCCCAGTAACCTTCAGGAACAACAAACCATTCACAGTCACCTGGACCAATATTTATGTTAACTGAACAGAAGTTGTTATTTTCTTGATGACCTAAAATGTGAAAAGGGAAAAAAAACCCATCAGCATACTATAAATTCTATAGAAAATGTATCTTTAGAAATGAAACCTTAGAAATGTTCAACAGAAAATGTTTAGTGGTAGTCAGTTTGGGTTTTTTAATTGATGAGAGAAAGAGAGAGAGAGAGAAAGAGAGAGATCGATTTGTTGTTCCACATTTTTTTTTTGCATTCATTGGTTGACTCTTGTATGTGCCCTGACCGAGGACTGAGCCTGAAACCTTAGCGTCGATGCTCTAACCAACTGAGCTACCCAGACAGAGCCTCAGTTGTTTATCTTTGTGTCAAGTCTAGTTTTAGAGCTGAGTTTGGTCAATTCCTAACTTATACAGGTAAAAGAGCCTCTGCGGAAGGCAGTCTAAATCGTGGTTAAAAGCTTAGGTTCTAGAGCCAGGCTCCTTGGCTTAGTCATTATGTCAGTCTAGGCAAGTTGCTAATTCATTCTGACTCAGTTTTCTTATACATAAGATTAGATAATGATTCCAGTAAATCACTGTGTTTTTTTTTCCAGGGAACCAATAAAATAATGACTACTTCAAACAGTGCCTAATACATGTAAGTAATAAATATTAGCTATTACTGATATCATCACCACTTCTTTCTTGTGAACTAACCCCCATTTTTCAAAAGTAGCAGAAGGACATAAGTAAAGAGGCAAGAAGTCTGGTTTTCAAAATGTACTGCAAGAGTGCTGTCGACAAAATGGTAGAGCAGGGAACTCTGGGAGCATTCTTCAGAAACACACACACACACACACACACACACACACAGTAAAAACTGTGAGAAGCGCGCGCGCACACGCACACACACACACAGTAAAAACTGTGAGAAGCGCGCATACACACACACACACACACACACACACGAGAGAGAGAGAGAGAGAGAGAGAGAGAGAGTAAAAACTGTGAGAAGCAATCTTACCAGAACTCTGAGTGATAGTCAAAGTTTACAGCAACCAAGAGATTTCTTGACAAGACACCTTAAGCACAGGTTTTTATAGCGTTTTAACTTACCTGATTACCCATCCCTATCACCGGTGTGGCGGTGGAGTTAAAAACAGTAGTCTATGTTCATAGTGTGACTGGCCCTTGCTCTGGAGGGAGCAGAGTGGATCTTGTTCCCAAAGAATTGTGTTTTTTTGTTTTGACCTGATTGAAGTTTCCCCAAAAGACTGACACAAGGGGCTTCTCTTTGTTTCACATATCTCAGAAGTCTATCAGAGCAAGTGTTTTGGTAGAGGAGGTTCACTCAAAACACTAAAATACTAATAATCAAGCTGATGCTACCAGGGGCAAAAAACACAGCCAACCCCAAACGACAACAACAACAAAACACCCAAGGGGTGACAACAGACATGCAAAGGCCTGGGATAAAAAGCTGGAGAGTGAGATTTGAGGGGAATAAGAGCTCTGAAAAGTTACTATGAATACTGGAGAATTTAGAAAGCCACAGGCTTAGCAGGACAGGAAACATGCAAAAAACCCCCACAAAACTAATACAATAAACTTTAACTTCTTGTTGATCTTTAGGCTCAGCACAAGCAAGGAGGTAAAGACTAAAGGACAGTTGTAAGCGGCATGGCTAAGTACAGAAGGAATGACTTAAAACAGACACAATCTGTAAAAACCTGGAGAACCCTACCCCCTTTCTTACTGTTCTTTTTCCCCACTTTTCATGCATCAGGCATTTAAGGAAATCTCTGTCAGGTCACTGGCTAACTGCTGAGATGACGGAAAGGAGATGTCAGTGCCCACACATGACAAGAAATACACTCTTTGCAAAAACAGTGTACAAAAGTCACTAAATTAGACAGATAACCGTCTCCCACAGCGAGCAACAACAACAAATCCTGGGTATGGAGAATCTGACTTCTGTAATTCCTACATTATAATATTCAAAATGTCAAAATACTAGCAGAGCACTACACTAAAGAAACAGAGACTTCAGGGTCCACATCCAGGAAAGAATACAGATATAAAAAATACATAAATAAAAAAGCTAGTTTTCAATAAAAAAATTATGCAAAGAACTAAGATAGTATGTCCCAATAAGGATAAAAAAGCAAGAAAGCAAGCAACAAAGAGAAAGAAATTAAGAAATAAGTTAGCAAAAGCTATTCCTGAAAAAGTACAGACATCATACTTACTAGACACTTTAGGAAACCATGGACAAGAACCAAAGGAAACAAGGAAACAATGTCTCAACAGAGATTATCAATAAAGAGACAAATATAATAAGGAAACAAACCTTTGAACCCAAAAGTATAATAACTAAAAAAAGATTCACTAGTGGGTTTCAATAGTAGACTTGAGCAGGCTAAAAAAAAAAAATCAGTAAACTTAGAGATAGGTCAAAAGAAACTATTTATTCTGAGAAGGAAACGGAATGAAGAAAAATTAGCAGAGCCTAAGAAACCTGTGGGACAACATCAAAAATACTAACAGGCCCTGGCTGGGTAGCTCAGTTGGTTAGAGTGTTGTCCGAATATGCCAAGGTTATAGGTTTGATCCGTGATCAGGGCACATATAAGAATCAATCAATGAATGCATCAATTAGTGGAACAAATTGATATTTCTCTCTCTCAAAATCGATAAAAATTTAAAAAAAGAAACTAACACAAGCATTGTGGGAGTCCTAAAGGAAGAGGAGAAAAGGGCAGAAGGAATATTTGAAGAAATGATAGATGAAAATCCCAAATTGGACAAAATACATGAACCTACAACACCCAAGAAGCTCAAGGAACTGTAAGAAAAACTCAAAGGGATATATACCAAGACACATTATAATCAAATTCTAGAAAGCCAAAAAGAATCTTCAAAGCAGGAAAACAGAAGTGATTTGTCACATACAAGGGATCATCAATAAAATTAATAGCTGATTTCATATCAGAAACCATGGAGTCCAGAAAGGCAACAGGATAATACATTTAAACTGCTGAAAGAAAAAAATATTATTAACCAGAAATTCTATATGGTCAATTTTCAACAAGGGTGCCAAGACCATCCAATAGAGAAAGGATTATAGTCTTTCTAACAAATGGTACTGGAACAACTGGATAGCCATATGTAAAAGAATGAAGTTAGACACTTACCTGACACCATATACAAAAATTAACTTGAAATGGATCAAAGATCTAAATATGAGCTAGAACTATAAAAATTCTTCATAACCTTGAATTTGGCAATGGTTTCTTATATATGACACCAAAAGCACAAACCACCAAAGAAAAAAATGGGTAAATTGAATTTCATCAAAATTAAAAACTTTGCACATCAAAGGACACCATCAAGAGTTAAACGACAAAATACAGAAAAGGAAGAAATATCTATAAATTATCTGATAAGGGATTAATATCCAGAATATATAAAGAACTCCTATTACTCAACAACAGAAGGTCAAACTACTCAATTAAAAAATGAATTAAGGACTTGAATAGATATTTTTACAAAGTAGATATACAAATGGCCAACAAGCACATGAAAATCAAAACCACAACTGAAAAACAACTTTATATGCATTGGGTCAGCCATAATAAGATAAAAAACAAAATCATCAGTGTTGGCAAGGATGTGGGAAAACTGGAACCTCAGTACACTGCTGGCAGGAATGTCAAATGGTGCAGCTGCTGTGGAAAGCAATTTGGCAGTTAAAAAGTTAAATATACAAATGCCTTATAACCCAGCAATTTCAATCCTAGGTATATAACCAAAAGAACTGAAAATAGGTATTCAAACAAATACTTGTACATGAATGTTCATAGAAACATTATTCACACCACCAAAAAGTGGAACAACCCAAATATCCATCAAATAATGAATGGATAACCATAATGTTCTATATTCAAACAATGGAATATTATTTGGCTATAAAAATGAAACACTGATACAATGTGGATAAACTTGACAAACAAGCTAAATGCAAGTAGCAGGGACTTCTGGTCAAGATGTCAGCGTAGGTAAACACAGTATTTGAAATCACAAACAACCACACAAAAATTACAACTAAATTTAGAACAACCATCATTCAGAACCACCTGAAATCTAGCTGAACAGAGGTAGTACACCCAGGGATTTAAAGAAGAGGTCACATCAAGACTGGTAGGAGCCTGGCCGGGTGTGGCTCAGCGGCTGAGTGTCAACCTAGGATCCAGGTGATCGGGGTTCGATTCCCTGTCAGGACACATGCCCAGGTTGCGGGCTCGATCCCCAGTCGGGGGTGTGCAGGAGGCAGCCAATCAATGACTATCTCATCATTGATGTTTCTCTCCCTCTCCTTTCCTCTCTCTGAAATCAATAAAGATATATTTAATAAAAAAAAAAAGACTGGTAGGAGAGGCAGAGATGCGGAAAGAGCTGGTCCCATACCCATGTGTGGCAGTTTAAAATCAGGAGGGGTATCTTCGGCTGTGGAGGTCCCCCATGAGGAGCAAGGGTTCCCAGCCCCACACCAGGCCTCCTAGGCGAAGGTTCCAGAGTCAAAGAGAAGTCCCCACAACTGTAAAAACAAGCAGGGATTGAGGCTGAGGGAGATGAAGAACCTCTAGAGTCCCACGCAATCCTCTTAAAGGGCCCACACACGGACTTACTTGGACTCACTCCCTCTCAACTCCAGTGCTGGGGCAGCAGCTTGAAAGAAACCAGGGATATAAGGGGAAGAACGGAACTGTCTGGCATTAGGGCAAGAGGGGGGGTAGCTTTCTGCCAGAGGCCATTTTTCCTTTTGTGAGAACCCATCTGACCCTCACAGAGCCAACAGTTGGGGGCCATATCTGAGTCTACATCAACCTGGCTCACACTGTTCACCCTGCCCTGATGATTCCCTCAGACCCCACCCCACCCCAGCAGTTTCCAGTGGCTTTTCTATACAAATGGCCTCTCTTGCCTCATGCTTCAGATTTTCCTAAAATGTCTCAAACCAGCATCTGGCCTCTGTGTACCCAGTACCTCTGGCTAAGTGGCCCCAGGCCTGGTACTAGCAGCAGCTAGCCTTGATTCCCAGCTTGGCCTCTCCTGAGCACCTCCAAGCCCAGCACAAGGAGCAGCTACCTGCAGATCGCTCTGTAGTTTGTGCCAGGTAGTCCCAAGGCAGGGCATAGATGGTGGCTGACCTTACAACTCCAGGAAGGCTCCAGAGCCAGTGCACCTGATGGAGAGCTTCAAACCACGATGGACAGATTACAACCCTAACACCTCCACAAGCAACACACTCAAGGGGCAGACTCAGTGAATGCCATAGCCCCACTGATCCATAGGGTCAACTCCTGCAGAGCAGTTCCTCTGCTGTAGTCAAAGTTGATTCTTGGTTCTCGCAGCTGACTGGCCTGGGGGTCAGGCCCTTCAGTGACAACAACAATCAAGGCTCAACTACAATAGGAAAGTGCACACAGCCCACACAGGAGTGCACCTGGAATGCCCAGCTTGGGTGACTGGGAAGACTGAGCCATTGGGCCCTACAGGATACCTACTACACAAAGTCACTCTTCCAAGCCCAGGAGACGTAGCAGTTCTACCTAATACATAAAAAGAAACACAGTGAAGCAGACAAAATGCAGAGACAAAGAAACAGGTCTCAAATGAAAGAACAGGAGAAATGTCCAGAAAAGGGAACTAAATTAACTGGAGGTAAGCAAACTACCAGATACAGAGTTCAAAACAATGGTTATAAGGTTGCTCAAGAAACTTAGTGAGAACTTCAAGAGCATGAAAAAGGACACAGAAACCATAGAAAAGAATCAGTCAGAACTGAAGGATACATAAACTGAAATGAACAATAATTTACAGGGAACCAACAGTAGAATGAATGAAGCTGAGAATCAAAATCAGCTATTTGGAATATAAGGAAGCAAAAAACACTGAATAAGAAGAGCAAAAAGAAAAAGAAAAATCCAAAAATATGAAGATAGTGTAAGGTGTCTCTGGGACAACTTCAAGTGTGTACCAACATTCGAATCATGGGGACTCTGGGAGGAGAAGAGAGAGAGCAAGACATTGAAAACCGATTTGAAAAAAATAACAACAAAAAACTTCCCTAACCTGGTGAAGGAAACAGACATACAAGTCCAGGAAGCACAGAGTCCCAAACAAGATGAACCCAAAGAGGCCTACACCAAGACACATCACAATTAAAATGCAAAAGTTTAAAGACAAAGAAATAATCTTTGAAGAAGTAAGAGAAAAGCAGTTAGTTCCCTACAAGGGAGCTCCCATAAAACTGTCAGCTGATTTGTCAACAGAACTTTCGTGCTGAAGGGAGTGGCATGAAACATTCAAAGTCATGAAAAGCAAAGAACCTACAATCAAGAATACTCTACCCAGCAAAGCTATTGCTTAGAATCAAAGGACATTTAAAGAGCTTCCCAGACAAGAAAAATCTAAAGGCATTTATCACCACCAAACCAGTATTACATGACATGTTAAAGGGTCATCTTTAGGAAGAAGAAAAAAAATATGAACAAAATAGCAATAAATGTATATTGTCAACAACTGAATCTAAAAACACACACAAAACAGATCAACAAGCAGAACAGAAACAGACTCAGAGACACAGAGAACATTTTGACCGCTGTCAGATGGGAGGGGGTTGGGGGAATGGTTGAAAGGTAAACGGATTAAGAAATACAAATTGGTAGTTACAGAATAGTCACAGGGCACAGTCAATAATATTCTAGCCCAGCCAGTGTGGCTTAGTGGTTGAGCGTCAACCCATGAACCAGGAGGTCATGGTTCAATTCCCAGTTAGGGCAACATGCCTGGGTTTCAGGTTTGATCCCCAGTAGGGGGCAGGTAGGAGGCAGCCGATCAATGACTCTCTCATTGATGTTTCTATCTCTATCTCTCTCTCTCTCTCTCTCTCTCTCTCCCTCTCCCTTCCTCTCTGAAATAAAAATTAAAAAACATTAAAAAATATTCTAATAACTACTATGAAGTCAGATGGATATGAGATTTATCAGGATGAACACTTAGTAAGTTATATAAATGCCTAATCACTGGGGTGTACACCTGAAACTAATATAATATTGTATGTCGACTGTAATTGAAAAATTAAAAAATGATAAATGTTACAGGAAAAAGAAAAAAAAGCAGACCCAAAACCAATATATTGTATGATTCCATTTATATGGAACATCCAAAACAGGTAAATCTACAGAGCCAGAAAGGAGACTACAGTAAGTCCTCATTTAACATCGTTGATAGGCTCATAGAACTGTGGCAAAATGATGTATAACAAAGCCAATTTTACCACAGACTAATTAATATAAACAAGAGTTATAACAAAATGACATTGAGTGAAAGGACTGAGGACCTGCTATAGTGGTTGCCGGGGGCTGAGGGAAGGGGGGTATAGGGAGTGACTGCTTAATGGGTACGGGGTTTCCTTTTGAGCTGATGAAAATGTTTTGGAACTACACAGAGGTGATAGCTACATAGCACAGTGAATAACTAAATGCGATTGAATTGCACACTTTAAAAGGGTTAATTTTATGTGAATTTTACCTCAATAATAAAAAATGTAGCAGTGTTCTCACCACACCCTGTGTCTGTTTTACATTTACAGTACAATGTGAAGATGGTACTCTTAATACTTACAACTGTCCCTTACCACAGGTAGATGGTTGAAATTGTCCATGGCATGGACTCCAAATAAAATTTAGCGCTAATTAAAATTAGAGATGCTAGGACCCCACCATCAAACTAAAAATCTTTTAGGGTAGAGCCTAAGAGCATCTCTATATTATAGAGCACACATGACTGATCATAAAGTCCACTGAACCAGGTAACATTTATTTATCCATGTAACTCCAGGAACAAAATGTTTGCCCCATAAAAAAGTATTCAAAATAATTTTTAAAAAACTGAACTGGACTAACAGTTTAAGGGTCAACTGTACAACATTTCTTCTCTAATACTGAGTTGTCCAATACAATAACCACTTGAAATATAGTTAACATAAACTGAGGTGTGATGTAACGGTAAAGTACACAATTTTGAAGACTTAATATAAAAACATGCAAAAATATCCCAATAATGTTTACATTGATTATATGTTGAAATAATAGTTGGATGTACTGGGTTAAAATTAACTTCACCTATTTCATTTTACGTTAATGTGACTACTGTAAAATTCTAAATTATATATATGACTTGCATTATATCTATTGGATAGTGCTACCATCTAAGGAAATTCTTTAGATAATTCTTTAAGGTTCCACAGGACATTTTTGAAAAACGAATGCCTTGTATAAAAACCAACAAAAAACCAAAACAGTCTAGGCACACAGTGACAAAGAAGTAATGTGTCAAGTTTGCTCTTCCCCTTGATTTGTAATGAAAAACTGCATTATTTTTTCTCTGAGGATATTATTTGCATAAAATAATTCAAATTCTATGAGAGACATTTTCAACTGAAATGAATCTTACTAGAACCAATCCAATATTACACACATAAGAAAAAGGAACTCCAAAGAGCGCAAATAACTTGCCCAGTATTTACACTGGTGTCTAAAGTGGGGACAGACTGGAAAGCAGACAGTTCTTCTGCCATTTATCCCAGACAGAACTGTTTCCACTTTACCCAACTATGGATAAAACATCACAGAACTGGGCTTCCAATGACCTGAAGATAAAAACCACTGCAACCTAATAGTTCTAATCTTAGCTGCATATTAGAATCCTCTGGGAAACTGTTTTTAAAAAGTATTGATGGCTGGATCACAATCTCTAGAGATTAATCAACTATATAGTTTTAAAAAGCTTACCAGGGATTCTAATGAGCAGCCAGGACTGGGAACCACTGACCTATGTTACCCAGAAGCAAGCCTATTATGAAACAATTCTTAAGCTGCTATTCAATAAGCAGGTGACAAAGAAGAAAGCAGCCTGGTTTTCAAACCATGGCTGCTTTAAGTAGCAAAAAGAAACACCTGAGGGTGACATGCAGCTCATAGCCACTGCTACAGTAAACCCGTTACCACCAGTATTTCTGAATTGTTAGATATTTTGAATATCGCCCTATGAAATGTCATGTCAATCTAAGGCAGCACAGAGAAGATAGTACATTAGTGTTGGACAGAATTTTAAGTCTAAAACCAATGTAATTCATTTTATAAATGAAGAAAAAGAACCGGAAAAGGAATGTAACTTGCCAGAAGTAACAAGGTTAGTGATAAAGTCCAGACTAGATAATGTCTCCATATCATCATGTACTTTGTAAACTGTGCATTGCAATCCAGTTGGACAACTGCAACCTAGGCTTTTTAAAAAAATGTATTGTTCTATGAAACTGTTATACATATATGTCCACTAGGTCATAATATAATATACTGCTTATTGTAATTATGGTAAAAATAAGTGTAGAAAAAACTATATCCCATTACTCTGCAGTAGGTGGGATCAACAACAGTCTTTAAGCCACAAGGACTTATTTTTCCAGGTGTGCTCCAATGATCCCTTTTCCAGATTAAAATGTTATTGTTCCAGGGCTATTATATTTAAAAAAGAAATATACAAAGGAGGAAAATCTTAATAATCTGAACCCAGTTAAAGAGTCAAACATTGTATTAGGGATAATTCTTTCAGCTGCATTCACTGTAAATGGGAAAGAATCTGGTTCTCTTTTGCATATTTCACACTTTAATTAATTCTGTTTTTCAATTGTAGAAGATACGTTAGTGCATAAAAGTTACCTGGTGTTCTGCTTCCTGGAACTTTCATATATAGCTGAACTGTGTTCATGCCCAGTATGGTATGACCAACATGGCTTAGAAGATTTCCTGCTGATACGACACGCACAAAAGCAGGAAGTTTAGTCAGCTCATGTAGCTGCAACTTCCACCTGCAATAAAATAACAGATCAAGAGTGAAACTCTGCTACAAATATTTATGGAAGTTAATCACTTCTTCAAAATCCTTGTGCTTCAATCAGAAAATTAAATCTATAAATACTTTACTTTCACATAGGAAACACTGAAATGCTTACATTTTTCTAAAGAAAACTTCCTAATAAGAAGCATAAAAATTATTGAACAGTCAAAGAAAAAATTGACAAATATTTATAATTGCTGTATAAATTATATTATTAATCATAAGACATATTAATCATAAAATATAATGTTATGGTTGTATAATTAGCATATATAGTCAGGGTCTTGATGAAGATTTATACAAGGGTTTCAATTCAAGAAAATACTTTAACTGCAAAACCTAGCAAAAAATTATTTAGCTAAACTTTGTATATTAACTTAGAAAAGTGACAAGGAATGAAATAGAAGGGAAAATTGTATACAGTTCTCAATCTTAAAAAGGACGCTTCTTTACATCAGTTCACAGAAGATTACAGACTTACTTTTTGTCATCAGACAGGTCAATGTTGGTCCCAAATTTTATGGTTTTAAAGGGTCCTTTCCTCCTCCTCCCAGAACTTAAAAAAAAAAGAGATAATATTAGAAACATGCATTTTAAACAGAAATACTAAGTGGACAATTAAAAATAACTTACTTATCTGAAGATGTAGATTCACTATCTGAGTGTTCTTTATGGTGACTTCTTTTCTCATTTTCTTCCTATATATTAAGCAAAAAGCATTCCACTTTAGTATTCTACAACCAGCTATGAAAAGTTCATATCTAGATTGATAATATTATCTGTTTTGAAACTTAGTTTCTATAGGCCTTTTTCACATGAAAATTTCTTCGAAGACCACATTAAATAAAAACACAAGCAAGAATTCAATGGTATCCAAACTCCTCCATCAGCCACAATGTTATCCTAAGAATTCTTCCTATTAACAGTCTTCTATAAGGGGAACAAACTACAGATTCTTATTCCTGCCCCATTTTTCAAGGAGAGAAAACTTAAGGAAAGTTAAGAGGCCTAAGAAGTATCAATCTTGATTATAAAATTCCTAAACAGAGGTATATGCATGCATGTGTATGTAGCTATATATGTATAAGGGTGGAAGGTAAAAAGTTCTCTATTCTCGACTATAACAAATGTACAAAGGTCTTCCTGGGCCAAATCATTTTTCCACAATGAATTATACACGAACAATAGGACATTTAAAACATTAGTAAGAAAATTAAGTACTGGACCAATATAGATGCTTTTCAATGCAAAATTACTATTATTTACAATTTTTGTATCACAGAACATGGTTATCTCTGTAATACTCAGTATCTTATGATTTTTGAGCTAGCAATACTGCGTTACATTTTGGCCTCCCTCCCTTTAAATGTAGTTTCTAAACACTTGTCAAATTTTTCACATATAATGTGGTCCAGGCCTCCAAAGCACACAAAAAACAATCTTTCTTTGGTTATGGATCCATTCCTACTTAAATACTCTGCCTCTTAATATCTTTTTTTTAAATATATTTTTATTGATTTCAGAGAGAAGAAGGGAGAGGGAGATATATAGAAACATCAATGATGAGAAGAGAGTCATTCATCGGCTGCCTCCTGCTCACTCCCTGCTGGGGATCAAGCCTGAAACTCAGGTATGTGCCCTGACCTGGAATCTAACCGGGATCTTCTGGATCATAGGTCGATGCTCAACCGCTGAGCCACGCTGGCCGGGCTGCCTCTTATTATCATTACTGTTCAACTCTTCCTCCAAATTTTCCTTTGATGATCTCTGAATCCTGCCACTATTATCTATGTTATTCTGACCCTAATACTACCACATAGTTGAAGTATCTCAGAAGTTTGAACTACAGAGATTTATATGGACAATGAATTCACTGTAACTCCTGAAAGTTATAGGACAGTTTTTATTCCTTGGTAGGATCTACAGGGAGTGGCAGTGAGAAAGAAACACAAGATACAAATGTTGCCTTGACTGAAAATATGAACTCAGCAGAATTTTAAACAGATATAAACAAACCAAATGAATTACAAATAATGACTTCCAGGCACATATTAAGTTTCAGCTGTAGGATATGTACAGACAAGTATTTGAGTAATATATTTAATAAACTCATTTTACAGGTGCTTTATGTTCATTTTGTGGGAGAATTTACAAAGTTCTCATTACAGTTCTAGAGGATTTTAGTAATGCTTCACTGCTGAAAGGCCTATGGGTCTTTTAATAATAATCCTGATTATTTTTCAACGTTTTATTTTTAAATTTTCCATATATTTTCAAATAATTTATGCCTGTCCCTCAGTTTTTACTTTCAGACCGAGGTTGGTAAGAATAACACTAATGCTTCCTGGAGAAGTGATCAGATAACAAATACTAACCAGGTAGAGAAGAGAAATGGGAAGGCACAAGACTAGAAACTATGTAAGCATAAAGCAAACTTGAGACTTAGTTAATACTCTAATATTAGTGGTTCTCGATTAGGAGCAATTTTGCCTTCCACAGGACATTTAGCATGTCTGAGGACATTTTTGATTGTCAGAGCTGGGGTTGGGTCTAAGGGGTATGCTAAGAGCATCTAAGTGGGGAGAGGCCATGGATGCTACTAAACATCTTACAATACAAAAGACAAAACCCTATAGCTAACAGCTATCCAACCCAAAATGTCAATAATACCAGGGTTAAGAAACCCTGCTCTAAACAAAAATATCCCAGAGATGAGGGAGATATCGCACTAGATAGTAATAATATTTACTTAATCAACCCATAGGTTGTCTTAGGCTTTACTAAGAGCAAACCAGATAACGCTTATATTTTATATAACTATAAAATAATGAGATGCTTACAAAAGTAATGTACCCCTTTAAATTAAAATAACATAAAATAATAAAATATCTCCAAAATAAAATAATCTTCAGTAAGTAATTACTTACTCTCAATGATTCCTGGAAGGAGGAGGCCTGGTACTGTGCATATTTAGCAATTGTAGTATGAGATCGATTACTTTCACAATGCCAGATTTTTTTCGTTCCAGTGGGATCCCAGTTTTCATCTGCTGGCTGCAACAACTGTGTCCTCACTTCCACCATGTGTTCATTGTTAGCTTCTACCAAAGTTTTGGTAGAGAAAAGTCCCAGGTCTTCATAAATAAAGGTAATTAATAAATAAAAATTATATTTGGAATAACATTTTAAAAGGCTTTTAAAAAGGAAAAACAAAGGAAAATATTTTATCGTGTTCCATTCAGTTTCCCTACAATCCAACTGGGGCCTCTGCACACCCTGAGCTTCCTGTCAGATTTCCACAACCATACACTGAAGCCCTGGACCTATTCAACATGCCACTAACAAGGGAAGAATCCAGGGACTAAAGTTTCACTTATTTATTTAATTTCTGCAGGTGCCAGGAACTACTTGGGGGGGGGGGCGCACAATAGTACTTATTAGTAACATAACATTTTAGCTACACTTTTATTAAACACTTATTAGTCAACTTAAATCATAATTATAATTACATAGTTTCACCAAAATAAAGGCTAAATTTAAAAAGCACCAGTAAAAAAAAATTAAAAAAACTAACAGCACCAGTAAATCACCAGTAACCATCACCATTGTATCTTCACATTGATTAAAGAAATGATACACGGACACACACACACATTTATAGCCAGGAAAATATTAAAATAAAAATGTGAAAAAATAAAAAAATAGAAGTAAATTTCTGCCTGTGCTTCAAAAGTTAATAGTAAAGAAAATATACAAACTTTTCCTTTTTCTTATTAAAGCTTACCCAACTTAAGAGCTCCAGCAAGGCCACGTATTACTGTAACAGGATTGTTTGGATTTGTACAAAATTGATGTAATGGAGGAAAGAAAGCATCACGTTTATTTTCCAACTGTAAAATTAGAACATACAGTTAGATCTCTGGAAAACAGACCTTTACTTAAATATTATGACAAATTTATATCTATTATTTATTGTGATTTAATAATACATCGCATGTGTCGTTATTTGTATTTTACATTTTACAGTATTTTTATGTCTTTTGAGCCTAAATGTATTTAGATATAACCACATACATCTCTCTTTTCCATTATATCCTGAACAAAATATGTGGGAAAAATAAAATTTAAAGCCCCAAATCAGATTGTTTTAAGTATTATTCAGCCTTAAGAAGAAAGAAAATCTTATCACATGCCGCAACATGGATGAAACTTGAGGACACTATGTTAAGTGAAAATAAGTTAAAAAATGAAAATTTGTGTATAATTTCACTTATATGAGGATTCTAAAGTAGACAAATTCATAGAAAACAGAAAGTAAAGTGGTTGTTAACAGTGGATAGGAAGACTGTGGAAAAGGGAGTTGTATTTTAATGGGTATAGAATTCAGATTTGCAAGATGAAAAAGATATGTAGAGCTGTTTTGCAACAATAAAAATACACTTAAATCTATTAAACTGTGCACCGAAAAATGATGAAGATGATAAATTTTATGTATATTGTTTTTTAATCACACAAAAAAGAGAAAAAAAACAATTAAAAAATATATTAACAAAATGAAAGTAGGCTGAAGGAGAAGATCCATAAAAGATAAATCTTAATTTTGCATTCCCCCTTTAGACTTCAGTTTAAAAGTTTTGTTACACAGTTCTATCCCAGTGCTTCCCTTACACACTAAAGGATCAATAAAAACTGGTTGGAGGAAGGATTAATATAACATTTGGCCTCTAGAGGGCAAAAACAGAATCAAATCTCTAAAAGCAAACTTTATAGTTTAAAATTTTTTCATTTGGGGCAGAAGTGGGAGTATTGAAGGAAGAAAATGGGGAAGGAGGACCTATTTGGGAGAAACATAAAAAAAGAGTTGCTTTGATTGAATTCCTAACTTCCTATATCCAAGTAAAACTAATATCCAGTTTTAAATAATCTATTCAGCTTTTTAATGACATATCCATTACCACATTTTATATTCTCAAGTACCGTTTTTGAAGGTAAATAATATCTTTTTTTTTTTTTTTTTTT